TTTACTTTCTGCCAATCTTGCTTGGACTACGGTATGTTTTCCTCTCATAATTTTCGTTCAGAGACGAAATCGGACTTTCAAGCTCCCAAGTGATTCTTTCATTCGTTCGTTCATTCATTCAATAAGCATTCAAGCATTCAAGCATTCAAGCATCAAGCATCATCAACATGACTACCGACAACGCCAACAACGCAAAGGCCGCCGACCCTGCCAGCAACACAAGCTTGTCTTTTTCATTGCTTCGTTTGGCAAGATCAAATTATCTGTTCTTGACACCATTGCCTATCTTGCTGCTAATGCTGGTAGTGGCGATGATGATAATGATGATGACGAAACTTCTGCTATTGCCCCGACAGCACTCACCAAGCTTCAGGCAGCTTTGGACGAAGTTCCCCGCTTGGAGAACGAATTGAAAAATGTCGCCATATCCGTTGCTGTCTTCATTGCTACAGCCGAGCACTACCTCTCTCGAGAAAAGCCTTCCTTGAAGCGCGCCCTCCATACTCTTCAGGAGTGTGTCACCGCCAGGAACATTGCTGCCTTTGAGAAGCTAGCATCCGAGTCATCATTATTGTCGTCGTCGTCGTCGTCGTTCGTCGTCGTTCAACGGAAATAAGAATGATGACAATGATGACAACAAGGCAGAAAAGGCCGTCGGGTCGGAAAATGCTGGACTATGTTCACAACACAGTCATGATTTGGATGATATAATCGGGACATATCATTCGCCTGCCAAAGCAACTACTCAAGAAGCTACCAATAAGTCGACTGCAGATCTTATTCGTGAAATCTGCGAAGGAGGAAAGGATGAGGAGGTTAATGAGGGTTTTGGTGAAGGCGAGTCCCAGGTCCACGAGCCCGGTCAATGGAGGAAACGAGTGAAGTTGTCTACTGGAATTGACACGGATGATTTCTTTACAATGCCTTGCGATTATTGACGATGGGCGCAAAGGCTACTATATACGACGATTTGATGTTGCGAGAATGGTAAATGCTGAATTTTCAAATCAATCATGAAACTTACTGGCCTCTATCTTTTGCCTTTGTTTATGCTGGTTGTAATAATCAAAAGGCAATATAAGCTGTAGGTAGCTATATTGAATATTACCGTCTCAATGATTACACTGAACACAGGGTCCAATCTTCTTCTCCCCGTAGTGTGAGTTCTTGACATTCTCCATTTGGTTGTCTGCTCCTCTCACTGAGAAAGTTATATATGTCTCGCTCGAGATGTAGAGAATTTGGTTAGTTGTTGTGTATAGTCGTCGCAATGTCAGTTGCCAACAGTAAAAGGATGAAATCCCGCTAGCTAAAAACTTCGCTCGTTTTGGAGGCAGATAGTCGCAAACGTAGCTCTTTTGTGAACTTCCGCATACCGATTGCTTGCTTCGGCGGGGTCTTGTTACTAACGTAGAGAATTTGATTCAGGAGAAGTTGTTGACGTCCCAACCCTAACCCTAACTGTAGAATGAATGACAAAAAGTATCGGGTAGAATTGAACGCCAAACAGACGCAAATGTACCAGATAGTACTGGAATGGTTGGGACTTGATTTTTAGAGGTCTCTTTGAGTGGAAAAATCTCGAATCATTATGATTGTGAGAGGAGCAATAAAAGATGATCGATTTCACAAGTGAAACCAAATTCATTCGATCCGTCATAGTGATGTAGAAAGAGCTGTAGTAGATTGCACGAGAAACTTGTATCAAGCAGAAGCAACGCCAATCCAAAGCCCTGCCCTGCGAAACAATTACAAATTAGCTCAATTTCATTTGACTTCTTTCATGTTACCGCTAGTATTATAATAAGTATCATATCTATTCGGAATCGCGGTTCTTTTCGGTGCGAAGATAACAGGAGACTGTTGCTCAAGGCAAGAGGGAGTTGCTGAGGACGGCGTGCTCATGATTGCAAGAAGGCAGGGGGAAGAAGCAAGTTCCTCAAGGAAGGTAGGTTGCAAAGGACATTGTTCTGATTCGATTTCAAACGCAAGAAGTTCCTAAATTGCAATTGCTCTGCACATAAGAATGCGTGAAGCGTTCCATATTGTCTTATTATTATCCAAGTTAGAGATGCTAATATCAGATCCAAGAAGACCAACCAAACACATTGTATCACAATGCCAGTCCTGAAGGAATGAATCAATAGATCAGTCAACTGGCCTTTAAAATGTTTTGCATCCTCACTCGTTGCATGCTCGTTTTTACTACTTGTCCCTTCTTCCACTACCACCAAAATGATTGGAAGAGGGGCGACCGTTTGTACCGGTAGGAGTGTCGTCGTCTTTTTTTACACCACTGTTGTCGTCAGCAACAATGGCAAGGGCTCTGCTGATTGCACTCATTTTGTTCGAAGCGCATCGATGAGAGGACAACGATGGGGGCAATGATGGTGGAAGTTTGTACTTGCGCGGGTGTGATGTTGCGGTTAAGGAGCCATTGAACGGGTTACGGCAGGTCATCTTTCTTCTTGCTTGTTTGCTCTTATACTGTTTGTCTCTGGTGTGTT